TCAGACTTCCAGAAATGAAAATCTAACTTCGGTTCCCTCCAGTTTATGGGAGGATGGATAAATAGTAAACTGAGGCAGCCATGGGCAGTGCTTTTTCCACAGTGGATAAGCAGTGGAGATGTGATTGCTAGCTAGATTTACGAGGCATCTTGCAGACAGAGAGAGAATAAGATTCCGTTTTACCAGTGACTGACAGATGTCTGCACCTGTGTCCAAGTAGATGGCCTCTCTGTACAGCGTTTTACAACCAGTCCCTTTGAGCTGTGCTGGCTAAAGAGGAATGAATGTCGCTTCTTCCCCAGTTCTCCTCAGCACAGGCCCTCTGCAGACAAATGTAGAAAGTCCTACACATCAGAAACTTGAGAGTTCAGCTCTTCCAAAGCGGCAGACTAAATGCAGACATTTCCAACTGGGAGTCTTCTACCTGGTCTGTCACTGTGCTCTCAGGGAACAGTGGGCACTAGCTCTGCCTAACGCCAGCTATTGCCCAGGGAAATGAACTTCTTTGAAACATGCAGGGAGAGTCTCAAAATAGCACAGCTTCAAGTTCATGAATCAAGACCGCCACTGGCCAAATACTGTCTTACCCGGATGTCTTCACATGATCAAAGGGGTTTTCCTGTCACCTGGCCCAGGTGGACAGCTGTGTGGACCCCTAATGTACATAACCTTCTTTCTGCTTAGTGCCAGGCACCTCACACCTCAGTGAACTCAAGAGGTTTCTCCTTGCTCTCACTCCCTGGAGCCCACAGCTCTTCCTTTAACCACGCCTTTCTTCACTTAAGACACCCAAGACCAGACCCTTCCCCAGGTTCACAGAATTCCTGCAAAAACACGTGTCATATTCCTTCACTGGGGCCGGAATATTAAATGCATTTCTCAACCCTGCTGGCTAGTTTTCTCATATCTGCTTTAGCCCCCAGCAAGCCCACAGACAAAAGCATTAGCACATACTTAGTGTAGCTTTAGACTCATAGTGCCGAAGCCTCAAGGATGAGCAAGCACTCACTGCTGACCCAGCCTGTCATTTGCATCCCTGTGCCTTTCCCCAGGTCCGTGTATCAAGATTCATTCTGGCACACTCCATCCTGAAATGGATCCGGACTCTCACTTTCTACCTGGAATGTTCCGCCTTCCAATTCCCAGCCTAGCTTGTACTCCAGGCAAGCAGAAGTATCACCCTCCAGCTCCCTTCCAGCCACAGAAGTATCCATCACCCTTTGCCTTTGTCGAACCCTTTTTGCAAAACCATAGATATATTTCAAGTCAGCTTCCCTTTGACTCCCCTGATCCACGAACAACTCTAGAAAAAAAAAAAACCAAACCAAAAACCTCACCAGGCACCGCACTCCCTCTTCCTGGCAACACTGTAACAGTCAGCTGAGCGTGGAGAAGGAATTTTTCCAAGGCTGTGTGCCACGTCCCAGCACCCAACAACGAGCTGAGCATCCAGTAGGCATCCCATTAATTTTTAAATAAGAATCAACAGTAACTGGTGGTAGTGTGTCCTACCAACATCTACTGAGACGATATTAGACAATGTGCATGCTTGCCACTTGGCACACAAATGTATTCTTTACTGGGGAGTCTTGTGCACACAGCACTTGCTGTCACTGGACCCTGTGCCAACACACAAGAACTTCCCCCTTAAATGTGCAGCCTCCTTTAGGTCTTCTCCTGTCCCTTCAGCTGGAAGGCAGGCAAGGGGGAGAGGCTAAGACCATCCTTCCTTGTACTGCTCTCTGCAAGAATGCCAGGGCCCACACTTCATCTCCCACGTGCCCCGTGCCCTTCCAGTCGAATCCCAGACTGCACATGCTCATAAAGTTAGCACACTCCCCTCTCCTCAGCTCATCTTCCCTCCGCATCCCTTTGGTAATCTTCAGGCGGCCAGCTCCCACACATGGCCACCTTTCACACACCCAGCCCAGCCGCCCTCCCACGCCACACCCACCCCATGTGTCTGTGCAGGCACGCACGAGCCATCTGTCTTCGGCACACTGCACTTCTCCAGCTCCGACACCCTTCCCAGGCACAGATTTCTCATTAGCTACACCTATGTTCCCACAAGCCCTCGTCTCCTGCTATGCACACAGATGCCCATCACACAGGCTCCCCACCCCTCCAGGGCCAGCAGGGCTGGAGGAAGCTGGAGTCAGCTCCACCTCCTTCCCTACGCTACCACCCCCAAACCCCCCTCTCTTACAGAGACTTGAGAGGGCCCTCCCAGTTGTTCCCTGGCCACCCAAGGATCAGTCTCCCTCCTTGGGAAATCAGACCCGATTCATATAGATACAATTTTCCTAAGGCCATCTTCTACACCGTCCTCAGCAAAGCGCAATCCTACTTGCTCTCCCTGAGGAGAACGCCGGTAAACTTTCTTCTGTCCCTATATACAGCCGGCTACAGCAGCCTGCTGCCCCCGCCCCCACTCTCTCCCAACGCTACACTCGGGTCTGTTTAAGCCTAAGGCGGAGGTAGTTGGGGTTTATCGTCTGGATTCCTCCTCTCAAATTTCTTTGAGCAACACGTCAGGATCAGGGGAGGCTGAGTAAGCGGGCAAAGTTCAGCCTATTTAGAAAACAGAACCGATTTAAAGCTCCCCTGTACAACCCACCCTTCTGATACACTCTTTTCTCATCCTGACGTTTAGGACACTGTGCTTAGGTATTTCCTCGCTCGCTGGTTTGCAGTTGGAAAGGCAACCCTTTACTGAAAAGCAGGTTTGCCAGCACACTCCGTAACCCGCAGAATTTCCAACATCAGACTCAGCTAGTAACACACACCCTTACAGTCTCCCTTCCCCTCCCCCAGCAGGTCCCCGCCCCCAACCTCTTCACACTCATAAACAAGTCCCGGCTCAGGGGCTCCAGCTCCAAGCTTAGCAGCCTGCACTGGCTGGGACCGCGTCCTAGAGCAGCCTCCACTCTGACTCTCAACCTGCTACCCGCCGGTCGCAAGAGGTCGGGATCAATCTGGTGGGTGCTTCCCCCACCTGGAAAATGCGAGCCTCAATTCCAGTTCCCGCTTGCGACTTCTCTAATCAACTGCGTCCACACCGTTCGGTGCTGGGGTCCCAGTGGGGCGCATCTGAGCGGTGCGGAAGAACGCCAAAATTGCGCAAAGCAGTAGCGCCTCTTGGATGCACACCCACTCACGCCCGAAAGCGACAAGCAGAGCAATCCTCCCCGCACCCCACACCAGCCCCCCCATTCCGCACCTTCAGTTCCCAAGCGTGCCAAATTTCATTAGAAGTATCCACCAGTGTGCAGAGACCGGTGGCAATGGAAACAGTACGCTGTTGGTTCTTTTAACTCCTACCTAGCTTTGAGGGTCTCCGATGCTCTCTGCCTTCCTACACCACCTCTGGATAGTGGGGAGGGGGTTTAGGGGGTGCTAAAACGGGCTCCGAGAAACTGCTACCAAATCTCTACCGATGGCCCCGCCCCGGTACCCACCGTTCCCTGGCCGGGTCCCAGACGGGCGGGTTGAGCGCTAGCTCCAACATCTGTGGGAAGACCCAGGGTGGGTAGCCGTTGGGTAGGCGCTCCCCAGAGTAGCCGGGGGCTGGGGACCTTCTCAGAGAAAAGACTTATGTGGGGTACTAGCGCAGGTACGCACTTCTGGGCGGGGAATTCCAACTCCCCCAACCTGAGAAGTGACTGTGGGGGTTCTGGGCTTTACGTCCCCTCCCCCAGCCCACGCCCTGCCTGGCTGTGTAGAGGAGCAGTCGAACAGTGCCCGGTGGCCAGCGGGGTGCAGGGCGAATGCCGGGATTCCGGCCTCTTCCTAGCCTCGGTTTTGCCTCCTATCCCCTTTTGTTAGACTATGCGCGGGAGCCTTCTGGGAGAACTAGGTAGGAGGGTTGGAGGTGTGTACGCCTGAGGTGGAAGGGCAGGGGGTGCAGAATCTCCTTCCTGCCTTTTCGTGGTCCCCATTTTTCCTCTCCTCCACTTCCCTCCCTTTCCAATGCAGGTTTCTTAAACCTGATCACTTTCCCAGACTGAGGGCGGTTTCTTGGGCAGCCAGGGGACTAGAGGGAGGAGGAGGTGGGGAGCCGTATCCGCACGCGCGTGTGCATGCATGTGGAAGGGGGGTGGTGGCGATTGCGCCTAGGCCTGGGCAGATCCCACCGCAAACTTTGAAGAAGGCACAAGAACCGGAAAGTTAAGAGCTTGTTACACGATGGGGGTGGGGCTGGGTGCAGAGTTGCCCCCCACCACGGGGATCTTCAGGAAAATCTCCCCCACACGCGATCCCCAACCCCCTTCCTGCTGCCCACCCAGCGTGCCCGCCACATCCCCTTACCGTGGCAGAAGTAACCATGGCATCCGTGTGACTATTTCCAGGGACGTCGACATGAAGAGAAAGGTGGACTCGAGTTTGGTCATTCAGTCTCGCCCACCCCTGCCACAGCCACTACCCAGCGGTGGGAAAAACGAGAGAGGAAGAAAGAGGGAAGAAAGTTGCGCCGGGCTCTCTCGCGGGGCGGTGCGCGGAGCTGCTGGGTAAGGAGGGGAGCCTTCAACTCTGAGTCCCGTGAACATAATCTGCGTGGTTATAACCAGCCAACCCGGCCAGATGGCTCCGCGCTCAGCGCCTTAACCCCTTCAGCGCCGAGCCCGAGCCCCCGAGCCCCGCCCGCAGTGATTCGCAGGCCCGCGCCCAGCACTTTGGAGTTTGCTCTTGAGACCAACTGGGAGACCGGGTCAATTCTTCTAGTCCCCTTTGAAAGAAAACAAACGAACGAACGAACAAACAAACAAACGCTTCTAAAATAGCCTATTCTTCAGTACCTCCTATATTTGATTTCCCTTTTAGTCATGGGGAGGAGTCGTAGAAAACATTCAATTTATCATTATATTTTACACATTAATATCTTCGAACTGTCTTATTCTTGAATTTTTTCTTTTTGATCTTTTTTCTTTTAAGATTCTTTCTTTCCTTTTTTTCTCTCTCTCTCGTTTTTCTTTTATTGAGGCAGAAGGCCTTCCTTGCCCCTTGGTTCAGGAAAGCTTGGTTCTCAACCTTAAACTCTGCCTCCAAACCTCAGACCTTTCTAGCTTTGGATCTCTCACCACCGCCTCAGGAGCTCGTCCAAGAACAATTGCTCTCCCTCAACAGAACTCTGCTGTCCGCGCGACCAGTTCCCAAGGCGCAGTGCATGCCGCCGTCTTAGGGAGGTTAATTCACCGAGGTAACGTGGGGGTGGGGGTCCTGAACAACCAAGGGAGGGGTTGGCTTGCGCTGCGCGGCGCGTGCGTGAAAGAAATCTAGAGGCACGAGGCCAAGCCCCGCATTTTACTCAGTCTCCAACTTCTCTACCCCTTCCTTCCAAAGTAGAACCTGGCCGTGGAGTTGAGCACTCGCTCAGGACACACCGCTCTGCACAAACACAGCTCGACCAGAAGAAAAGGCAAGCAACACACCTCTTCCCGTCTCCCCGAAAGTAGCGACGCTCTCTTCTACAACCGCTAGATTCATTCGAGAAAAGATCGCAGGCAGAGGTTTTATTTGAAGATAATTTTAGCTATCCATTAGAACCCACTTGTTCCAAGCTGGTTCTCTCAGAATTTATAGCGGTCAGCATCAAGACTTTGCTCTATCGCTGTCCAAGAGAAAGGGGGGGGGGATCCTAGTGGTAAGGAGAAATGGAGAGTAGAGTATTGCTCCTTCACTCCTTCCCTGGTTCTTGCAAGGTGGAATGCAAAGTCCAAGCGCCCTCCTCACCCTACCCGCCCCCACCCCCTACCGCAGCCAGCTCTTGTCAGGACATTTGACTCACAGGCACTAAAAGAGGCGATTTAATAGTTCCCCTCTTCCTTGCCTTCCATTAAAGTGTCTGATAAGCAACCCGCAGTGTAGTTCAGCAAGGTTCCAGGTTCAAAACCTGAAAATTCCTTGGAGTTGTGTGCCTTTGGTCCACACCCAGGAGCGCCAGAATTGCACCCACCAGCTGAGGCCGAGAGAAGCTGCAGGGCGAAGGGAGGCCAGAAAGGATGGAGAGTCTGGGGGGCTGCATACTAGATAGATTGTACCTGCCTCATCATTATCCTGGCTGACGGGGGCTGCCACATCGAAAATGGCCTGCAGCACCCACAGAGGCCCAAGGACGTCACCTCCAACGGTCCCAGAGAAGGGCTGAGTCCTCCTTCAAAGGTTCCCCTCCTGCCAAAATATCTCCTTCTTCCTCCGGATCCGATCGGGCGACCGAGTTTCCCCCTCACCCTGCCACACAGCACTTTGAAGGTTTGGCTTGGGCGTGCTCTGTGGGGTTCTGGTTTTCTCGCGGTCCTCTGGCCCGCCCCTGCCCTCCCCCCCCTCCCCCCCCCCCCCCCCCCCCCGTCCCCTCCCCCGCCTCTCCCTTCAATCTCTCTGCCGGCCGAGTTCTAGGGGCTCATTTCTCAAGCTCCTGCCCGGGGCTCAAAAGACTGCAACCAAAGGGGTACTTGACTGCCGGGCAGGGAGGAACGGGTTAAATACACGTGTGGGCTGCTCCGCCGGCTGCTCCCTGGTCACTGGCGGTCTGGAGGGAGGAGGGGTCTAAGAGGGGCAAGCTTAAATATGAACAGGCAAAAGAAAAGGCTTCAGAGTTCAAGACTCCGATTTGTTCTGCAGATGCGGTGCACTGGCTGGCTGCCTCCGTTTGCCAGACCCGGGCGACGGCAGGAAGAGAGCATTGTTTCCAACTCAAGGGTGCAGGAGGGTCTGTCTCCGCCTGCAATCAACAGGCCTTGTAATATGAGAGGTGACACCTTAATCTTGCCAAATATGTGCTGTGTCTGGGGTGGGGGGCAGGGAGAGAACCAGGCAAGAGCAGGGGGCCGAAGATGCACTTTCCTCAGAGAACTGACCCACACCCCTCAACTCCCACCCTGGTAGAGAAGGGTCCTCCTTTTCTTTTTGCAAGACCTACTTGAGGATTTTCTTCCTCCAGAACGCAGTCAAACTTCTCCTTCCTTGTTTCTTTCCACAGAAGAACTAAAGGTTCTCCCTTCCCTTAGTAGGTGCAAAGGCATCTTGAACTTCAGAGGAGCTCAGAGGCTGCTAGGCAGAAAAGAGGCAGAAAGGTTCACTTGTTTACAGGCAGGATAAAAGCCCGTCAGAGTCATGGTGACTTCTGGGCAAACCCAAGTTTCTAAATAGAGAGTGAAGTGTTTATCGAAAGGCCAGCGCTAAGAGTCCTGAGGGTAACGAGAGTTAAGAGAAGACCCCAGGAAGCAATGGAGTCCTTAGACAGCTGGGTCTTTGCTAGCTAGGTAGAGGCCTCTCTAAGCAGAGTCCCTGGTTTTGGCCACCGATCTGATGACAGCACCTTTGGGTCAATGGACTTGCTCTTTCTCCCGGTTGCATCTGCAGCTCCGATTCCCGAAAGCAGTTTGTGAGAGCAGGGGCCAGGTCCAGTTTCGAAAACCCCCTTTAAACTCTCTCCCAAGGCGAATTCCTAGAGCTTGCCTTTGGTCTACCCTTATCTTTTGTAATAGCGCCACAGTGTGGTTGAAACGCAAAACAGAAATAAAATGGAAAGGTGGAAATGAGTCTGGGCTGACTTGGAAGACTGCATTTTTCTCCTGTTTCGGCTCCTGTATGCCTCTCTGGGGGTGGAAGAGGTCCCTCGTGCAGCATGGTCACGGTTAATTCACAGTGAAATATTGACCCAGGAAATGGAAATATTGGACATAATGGTCCTGTTTGACTATGCATTACAGAGATAAGCTTCATTATGCAGCTGGCCTTAGCTCGCATAGCTAGCATTCATTCAAAGCCGCCTTTCACTGGCCTTTGTATAAATAACATACCTTAGCTGACCCTAGGCTATCTGCAAGTGGCCTGTATTGCTGGAGGGTCCTAAGGCTGACTGACTGCAACTCCTGTGCTTGCTTTTGGCCCCAGTTGTGCCACCCCCCCCCCCCCCCCCCCGTGCCCTCCTCATCCAGACAGCTATTCCAGATGATGGAGTCAGAAAGTCTACAGTTCTAAAATGAAGTGAGTGCAAAAGGCATTTGCATTAGAAATGGGAACTTAGGATCAGGGGACTTTGATGCATGACCTTATCTTAGCTCTCCATGCAATAGGCCATACACTTAACACCTTTGTTAAGCGGTAAGCACTCAGGCTAACTTGCCAGTTAGCAGCTCTTCCCAGATGCCCTGAAGCATTTAGGAGACATGATTCCCAGGGATTCCCCACACTGGCAGTGAGATCAGTTGTCCCTGGAAGCTGGGTAGTGTGTCCATGCTTATTCAGTGAGTATAGCTCACTCTAAGTTGTCTTCCAAGCCCATCTTGACTTCAAGGACCGGCCTCAATCTAATGGAGATATTACAGATGATGCTCTAACATCTTCTCACAAGCAAACAAAAGGTCCCACTAAGAGACCATGAAGTAGAATTCCTTGAAAGAGTCACTTTTGTAGTCCGATAAACCTGAGTTTCAGGCTGCTCTCTCAACCCTACTAGATGTGTTTTGCACAGGGTTCCTAGCTCATCAGAACCCATCCAGAGTTGTTGAAATAGCGCCCATCTCGCAGGTGCACTGTGAAGACTAAATGCAGTCCGCAATCTGAAGCTCTCCCCATAGTGCCTGACATAGCGGGAGCCTCAGATCCAAGTTCCTCAGTCCTTACATTGACATCTTTGGCACCTCGACTGGTAAGTGATAGCGGCCATCAGAAAGAAAGATGCTTATTATTTGGGTCCCATCCATATTTCATTAGTATAATTGTGCGTGTGTTCCCAGATAGTAAGAAATGAGCAGAATGAAGTAGTGGACATACCTAGAATTTATTTAATTTCCTAATGTGGACCTCATGAGAGACATAGACGAAGGGTTTAAAATTCTCATTCATTCCCCGCCTCTGGGGCAGAATCACCTCATCATCGAAGAGGAAATTCCAGCACATCCTTCCACTGTTAACAGATTTCCTAGTGTATTACTGCCCTGTTTTTATCACTAATTATGTTCTGGGGCTTGTGCTGAACACTATAATGCATTACACGGAACAACAATGAATCAACTCATTTTGTGAACTAGAATGCATATTTATAATTAGGCTTCAAAAATTACCCGTAATGATAGAGTGAAGGTATGCAGCCCTGCCACACAGGTGGATCTAGAAGTCATAATGCAGTCTCCTGTTTCACTAGTTACGACACGAATTCCTAACCACCCTATAAATTAGCTTTATGCTGTACCAAACTCCACTCATAAAAAAAAATGACATTAAGGTTTCCTAGGTAACTAATGCATTTCCAAAGGGAACAGGTCTCAGGAGACAAAGACGACAGGGAAGATAGTGGGGGAGGGGAAGAAAAAAAAGTAAAAACAAAAAAAAAATATTAGATTGGACCCATGTGATGCAAACAGAATATTTCAGGGGAGGAACCGTAAAGTTTTACTGTGTGTGTTTGACATAGATGTGGCATTGCCATTAATTCCATCCTTGGTCAATAAAATACCCCATAGACTGCCCGCCTATCACATAGGCCAATGTTTCTCTTTGCAGATTCAGTTATGTAAACTGAGAAACCCGGAGCCTACTATTCAACTGCCGAGCTATGTCCACTCTGAGAATGCTAACCTGAGCCTTCCACTGGTTGCATTTAGATGCCACCAAATGTCAGGATGGAAGGGAAAAGTCAACTGAGATATTTTGAAACATGTACGTGCTTTTGATCATCATGGACTCAGACTCTGAGAACCTTGGTGCAACCTTAGAAGGTTGAGGCTTGAGGGCTGAATCGATAGAGACAGCTAATTTCTAAATCCCTAACTTGTCTTTTCTGTGCTGTGAGAGATGTCCATCTGCTGAGGAGTACCTTGAAGACTTGAAAGGAGCCAGGAAGGCTGTAGGCGGAGAGAACTTAAGGCTCAGCTCTCCTATAAGCAGAGTAGGGTTTCTGAACTATTTTGTCACCACAGAAGTTCTTACCAGACTGTCCCTTGTAGAGTTTCTCTTGCAAACTTCTTTTTAGATTTATTTTTATTTGAGTGTATGTGTGTATCTCTCTGTGTGTATACCACACATGAACAAGTACACCTGGGGGCCAGAGGAATGTGTTACAGAACTGACAGAAGACGTTTGTCGGGGTTTAAGGTTATCTGGGAGTTTGTGAGAAGGGAGGCAATAGGCTGTGAGTAGGATTCGGTTCAGTCGATCTGTATAGGTGAACATGTCAAGTCTGGGCACTGACTTGACATACCGAAGAAAGGATGATTTCAGCATTGATCCATCCTCCCTATTGGTTTCATTGTGTAGGACACACCTACGTAACTGTTCACGACAGCTTGGCGAAGAGCTCTCAGAGGCGTGCTAGACAAAGTTGTTAGTGCCAGGGTTCCAATAAATTTGTCTAAGGAGTTAGACCATTGGCTTTGGTCCAATGGTTGAAAAGACATCTAAATCAAAACTAGTCGCATCTGCAGAATCACGATATGGAGGAAGAAAGTCGTTGAGCCTTGAGACTGTAGTAAGTGACTTTTGAACCTGGACCTGTGGACAATGAATGTTTTGTTTCACGCGTTTCATTTGAATCCCATCCAGTAGCAACTGGTCACTCATACAAATGTCTGCCCGTCGAGCATAGACGCAGCGTTAACTGTCAGCATTTGAAGCCCTTCCTGAGGCCAAGCTTCAGAATCCGGAGCTCTTTCTGGAGCACACGATCTGCACGTCACTGCTCCATCGCATCCTCTTCTCTGCCTCCATATAAGAATGAGAAGCTTCTACTGGTTCTTCTCTCAGTCTGTAAGAAGTCTCCCACAAGCTATTTGCAATAACAAGTCCAAAACTTGGATATTAGATCCTTTGAAGTGGAGAGAATTACTTTACCAAAGACAACAGTACTTGTCTCTTCTGCCTTGTTCACCTCCCCATCCGACCCTAGGAAAACCTTAGAAATAAAGCTTTTTATTACCGGAGAGACAAACAGCAGAATTGGAAATACACAGACATTCACAAATCAAAAGCAATGAGTTTTGCCTAGAGTTAGCAGGGAGTCTGTGGTTAATGACAATGGAATCAGACCTGGCAGGGGATCACAAGATGACACACTGATCCACACCCCTTATCTCAAGTTGGAAAACAGAGACTGGCTGCCATGTGGTATGGGCGCATGAATGGCTTGCATTCTTTTAGAGCTGGAAGGTGCCTGAGAGTTCCCTAGTCAAGTCCTCCGTTTCACAGAGGAAGTCATCATCATACAGGAAAATGAAGGGAACTGGCCTAAGAGCACACAGAAAATCAGACTCATCAGTGAGTGAGTGGTACCCATGCTCCTCACTCCCAGAATGCTCTCTGTTCTTCCCATACAGCCCCAAGAGACACATGGCTGCTTCCTCCAGGGTACATTCTGTGCACCATCCTTGATCTCCTGCCATTCCTTTTAAGTCCCTTCTTTTTCTTATTTCAATTTATTTTAATACTTCATTTCCCTTATGCTGTTCTCATTGTGAACTACTGGCCAAAAAGCAACTTAGCATGCAGGAGGTAAGGTTAGAGTGGGGAGTGGAAGGGTTTATCAAAGGAGGAGAAAAGGTGGTTTCAAATGTAAAATGGCTGCTGTCTTATTGCTGGTGACATAGGTTGGCTCTTCCTGAAGAGCGGGCTTTATAGTGGTTCTGCCTCCTTCTCAGGGATTTTAAGACCTCTAGAGGATGCTTGAAACCTCTAAGTATATGTGCATGTGTTGTTTTCTATGTATATATGCCTGCAATAAAATTTAACATGCAAATAAGATGCTGTAAGATTAATAACTAGCAGCAAACTAGAACAATCACAGCAATAGACTGTTGTAAAAGCTATTTAAAATTTATGAGTTTTGTATTTCTGGAATTTTCCATCTATGATGTTCAGATTGTTGTTGGCCATGACTAATCACCACGGAGGAAGTAGAACCTTAGATAAGTAGGGCTCTCTCCCCTTGGGTGACCTCTCCCCTCAGATAACCTCTTTCTAATTTTTGATTGCTATTGCAGATGAGTTTAGAAAGTCACTTAAAAAAACATCTTTTTCTTGGTTTTTCGTCTTCTTTTCTCTATATTAAAAAAATGACAAAAAGATTTATTTTACTAAAAGAATTCTTGGTAGAACTTTTAATTTCATTTTCCTACAAAAACTGGATGATGGACAAGATTTCCAGAGCAGGGTTCATGTAGTTGAGTGGGCACTCTAGGGTACTGATGTCAAGTGAAGTCAAAGGTGGTGTTTTGATGTGCAGAATTTCCAAAAATAGAACCTCTTGCCTCAACAGTTCTTGAGTTGTTCTCTGCCACTGAATGATCATAAAACTGCCTTGAGGCGCTGGAGAGATGGCTCAGTGGTTAAAAGCACTGGCTGCTCTTCTGAGGACCCGGGTTCAATTTCCAGCACCCACATGGAAGTTCATACTGGTGTGGGAAGTCCTTCTGTATGTGTGTTGCTTTTACTGGCCAATGAATAAATCTGTTTCGGCCAGTAGCTTAGCAAAATAGAGTTAAGTGAGAAAACTAAACTGAATGCTGG